TCAGTTTACTTATATTGCATCAATTCACAAAATATCATCTGAGACATTTCAAGAATAGAAATAAAAACAGAGTAACTACTGTAGAGAGGCTGCTGCAGTTATTAGCAAGTAGTTTTGGACATTCATCTGAGTGCTGGCTGTCATACGAGACAGAGCACCCAGCTTCAGGCACTGCATCATCTGCGCGCGCACACGCACACACACACGCGCACACACGCACGGACACAAATAAAATCAATTTTTTCTTTCTGATACATTTAGGTAAAAAAAGAAAAAAAGTCAATACAGTAAGCACTGCTCGCCCCTTTCAGTGATGAATGAAGTAATTCAAACTCACATGTACTTTGATTATGTCTGTGTGTAGCTTTCAAGAGCAATCGCTGAAATCATCTACCATGACGTAAACGGAATACAAATGCACAATAAAAATGATTAGGGCCTCTATTAAGAAGAATTATAATCTGAAAAGTAATTAGTAAAGAAAACAGCTCCTAACTGATGTACTGGAACACTGACTAAACAGATTTTAACAGTGACTTATGGCAGCCGACGAACGCCTGAAAGAATAAACTAATCACAATAGGAAATGCCTTCGCTTTTAGGGGTTTTAGAATTTACCCCTAAAGCTAAATAAGTACTGCAGTGTGCAAAGGGGCCCAAGGTATTATGTGCCAATACAAATGATGATTTTTTTTTATTTCAACTCCTCGTGACAAAGATGCAACCTCCCCCAACTCCAAGCAAATCCTTTAGCAGCAGCTGTAGCACAGGAATTGTCAGAGATTTTGAAGTGACTGAGTCCTGCTGTCACTGTTGGTTCAGAAATACTGAATCTCCACAAGTTGTATTCATGGGGTGTGTACCTCGAGGAATTGTGCGTTGATCTTGAACTCTGGTACCGGACGTCCCTGCTCCTGGGCCACCTGCCGGCGCTCCTCAATGCCCTTGAAGAGATGATGGACGGCACGAGGAATGATCCCCAGCTCCTCCTCCATTATGTTGACGTCAAAGCCGGTCCCCATCGTGTACGTCTTCCCCGATCCTGTCTGGATGGGAAAGAAGACATGTTCAGCATGAGCTAATGTGATATCAGCTCAGTTAGCTAAAACATAACTCTCCTACTTTTCTATTTTTGACAAAAAAAAAAAAAACTAAAGTTGGTTGTTTGAAAACAATCTTGTTTGCAAAAATACAATCAGTTATGTGAAAACTAAAGAAGCACCAATAGCTTCTATTACTGCAGCTCTGTTTTAAAGCTAGAGCTAGCATGCTAGGTTTGTAAAGCAACTCACTGCAGGCTAGCTACCCGAATAACTAGCTAACGTCACAGTATATTTGCGCTACAAATAAGGAGCAGAACAGTAAAAAATGATACTTTTCTGTCCAATAACCACTTGAAAATGTAATTTAGTTTGTTTGGTTTGTTTTATACATTTCCACAAAAGTGTACACATCTGAATCTAGACAAAAAAATGTTATGACGATAACTTAATTGTAATAATGGGTTCGTTTCGCAGGAGTTGCTTTTTTGTTTTTAATTTAAAAAAAAAAACATTTAAATAACATTTTAATATTTATAATCCAATTCAAATGTATATCATATATTTTCACATAAGTCTATCACACTGTGAAAACATGGTGAGCATTTTTCATTTATAATGAA